AAACAGAGGACAATGTTGATTCGCAGGCAGCCATCAAGTTGTCATAGCAACTGGCAAAGACAGGCGTTTGCAATAGAGCATTGCTTTCATGGATACCGCTGGATAACCAGATAGATCCAGGCCTGATCATATGTGGGAGAAAAAGTTTAAAAGGCAACATTCATTAACATCTATGTAGTCACCGCTTAATGAAACAACTAGTGTTTTCTTGCCAGATTGTTAAAGCGGCTATTACCTTAGATTTCAACATCGGGAAATGGAGAATTCGGCTTATGAATAATAACCTATATCCATAAGAAAGCGATACACGCACCTATATCGTCGAATTTGTTGTTTTTTGTATATATTTTCGGCGTCGAAACATTGTTTATCTTGATCAGGGACGTATAATACAGAGTGATTTTGTCGAATCTCATGTTGGCGTAACAGCATACTTGAGAAATAAAGAAGAAAACGTTTTGTATCAAGAAGGTATACGTCCCTGTCTTGACTACTGTTTATAAACATGTTCACGCTCGGCTTATTACGAAGAAAGCCGAGTGGGTCACATGGCTTATCACGTGACAAAGTCATTTACATCCGCCGCAAAGAAAAAATGGGATACGAGGTAAACAAACCCACATGTGTTATGACACATGCTTTTGCACCTTTCTGCTAATTCTTGTTTGCAGTAAACGATTCTATAGTGTTATAATATATAATCTAAAAAAAAATAAATCTTAGTAATTCGTTTTGTTTTGGCTTTGTCGTTTCGCGGGCGCTGAACCAGTGGGGCCCCAAAGGGGGTAAATACAATCGGAACAGAAAAAAACAGGAATTGATACTTTGTCTGTACATATTAATAGATATTGCATTGTTTATTATGAAGGCTATATTTATCATTACGGTTGTTATTCTTACAGTAACACCAATACCGTCATATTTTCACACTTAGAACGAATATCCCCAATTGAGCCCCACATTGCGGTCAACAACAATCACATGTTGTCGATAGTAAATTCAAGCAAATAAAACAACTAGTTTCATTCAACATTTATCAGATAAAACTTTTAGTAGTGTTGTTCATGAAATATTCACGCGTCAAACACTGGATATTGGATTATAATCAATGACAGACGGATACGTTATGATTATAGGACTAATGTTATGCTACCCAGTCAAGTAGCAGCTTCGCAAATTCCGAATCCGTATTCAGTCCCAGATCCTCTTTCATCTTTCGCCATCTATCGATCTCCTGTCTAATATAAATTCTTGTCTGACCTCTTTTCTAGCCTGACTCCTTCCTCTTACGCTTTCTGGCAATTTCTGTAAGGCAACTTTTAGGTCTTCCTCGCCTTTTTGTATTTGTGTCTACCATATTGCTTCTTTCTAGGCTTATACGCATGCGCAGCATCAGGGTTACGAGCGGTAATATGTGAATTAGATCAGGACCGCAGTGTTTACATTCTTTATTTTTTAGATATCAATAAAAAAATGATTGCAGTGACTTTTAATTTTAGTAATTGACAGAAAGTCTAAGTTTTGTAACATACTATTGGAAAATAGAACGGTTTATATATTTTTCTCGAAGTGTTTTTAAAACATTATTGTCGCTTTAATGTGAAGTACACGCAACTTTGCCGGCTATGCTACATACCGACAATGCCGGTGTTGGCGACAAATGGAACGCAAACTAAATTTCCATGGTAAAAAAAAAATTAAAAATCTCCAATAGATAATCGTACACAATTTATTGTTTTCTGTTTTGTATTGTTTTAAAATAGGGAGCCATTATTGTAATATACCTTTACATTAACATACAAAATAGTTGCATCTAAATGTTTAATTGCATTGTCGACGTGCTTTTTATGTAGAGTTCATAATATATTCGTAGAAAAAAAGAAAAGCATTGTGAAAAAGTTTGTATTCACGAAGTGTCGCTCAACGTGATAAAGGCGATGGTCGGTTGGTTGGTTGACAGGTTTTCCGTCTCCTCATAACTCCTCCCGTTGTCAGGTATCGTCTTACCGACGGACGTTAGTGTCCTGGCGACGTGAGATGGCGATCTGCATCCCCGTCAGAGGGGAGGAACCGTCTTTGGTGGTGACGTCGATGGCTTTACCGTCATCTGAATAGAGGCGGTCAGCACGTGGATCGTATAGAATTCAATAGAGTTGACGGATTTTATTCCGGTTTGGCTGAAAGAAAATCAAGTTCGTGTTTTTTTAAAACTTATATGAAACATTTACTGACCTTATAGAATATCATAAGAAAATGTTTAGACAAATTGAAGTTTTCTCGTATTCAGAACAATCACATTAAAACGAAACGGACCCAGCCATTTTGTTGTGAAAATGTCAGTTTATATGATAACGTCGTTTGCCATATTAGGACATCACAATCGATCTCTGACTGGAGCAGTCAATGAAAAACAGTACACTTATGACATGTGCGAAATTTATCACGGGCGAATGCACTGAATGGCAGTTGATTGTGTGATTAAAATGTGTATTTTTATAATTAATATCTGACCAAAGTACATGTACAAAAGGAGTTTCCGTACTTAAACAAGTTAACAAAGTCGTCTCCCTCTCTTTTTTCCGTTTATTTTTATTTGTTTTGGTTTGAGAGGTCATATTTTTGTAATCATTGTGAAATAAATATTCCATGCCAGTACAGTATCAACACAATCTTACCAACCAAACAAGAGGCCCAATAGGCCTGCACCGCTCACCTGGCTAATTTAGATATTATGCCATTTAATAAAGAATTTCAAATAATATGAAAATAATTTCTGATATAATTTTCCGTGTGGTCAAACAGAGGTCAGATTCACTATTCATAATAATAGCTTCAGACCAAACTTTGTCTGGAAGAAAGATATTTAAGAACTTACATTTCCCCAATTGGGCCAACCACCACACGCTCCGGGGGAGGTTTTTTTTTTTTTTTTTTTTGGGGGGGGGGGGGTTAATCGTAAACAAATAATATTTTAGACTAAATTTTTTAAAGGAGTAGGGCTTCAATGAATTTGCTCTATTTCCCTTATTGGGTCCCGCCCCTCCTGCTCCAGGAGGCTGAGAACCACCATTTATACAAATGTGATTCCCTTTCACACAATAAAGCTGCAGACCAAATTTGGACAAAATCCAATCATTTCTACAGGAGGAGTAGGATTTCAAAGAATATGCTCTGTTATCCATAATGGGCCTCACTCCTCAGGTCCCACGAATCTGAAACCTACCATTTATACAAAAATGATTTCCCTTCATCCAACAATGCTTAAAACTAAATTTGGGTAAAAATCCAATCATTTTTACAGGAGGAGTAGTATTTTAAAATTTTCCCCTTTAGAACCCCACCCGTTTGCCGCTGGGGGGATATGATGCACCATTTATAGAAAATTGATTCCCCTAGGGATGCTTCTGACATAATTTGGTCACAATCCTGTAAGTTGTTTCTGACTTGTATTAAAAAACAAACTGACTGTCAAGGGATGACGGACGCAGTAGTATGATATAAGCTCACCTGGCCCTTCAGGCCAAGTAAGCTAACAAGAGGGCCAAGGGGCCTTAACGGTCACCTGAGGAATATATGTCAATAATCTGGGGATTTTAAAATGTTGCAAAAAATGTAACAACACCTGTGCAGGACAATGTGTAAAACATCTGTACCAAGTTTGAACATGACCTACCCAATGGTTCTTGAGAGGAAGTCCATAATGTCTCAGCCAAACAGAGGCCAGGGTGGCCATCTTGGATTTTGAATCGCCCCAAAAAAGTTAAATCACTTGCCAGGACCTTGTGTAGAACATTCGTATCAAGTTTCCCCTTTTCTCTCCTTCTGTGGCCCCTATTGGGGCCATACCCTTTGTCTTCGCAAACTTGAAGCGGCTTCCCATGGGGATGCTTTGTGCCAAGTTTGGTCAAAATCCATCCACTAGTTCTTGAGAAGTAGTCATTTAATGATGGTTTTTTAACATATGGCCCCTTTTACACCCCCTACGGCCCCCAAAGGGGACATTATCACCTTTTTCAACATAATTTCATATGTCCTTCATTAATAGATGCTGTCTACCAAATTTGGTTGAAATCGGTCAAAGTTGAGTTTTTGACCCTTTTGAGCGCCCCCTATTGGGGCCGTTTTTGACCCGATTTATTTTTTCATTCGCAAACTTTGTAGACCTTGCCATAAGGACCCTAAATATCAAACATGAACTTAATCTGACTGTTTATTTACCTAATTTTACCCACTTTTCCCCCCTTCCTGGGGCCCCTATTGGGGCCATGCCCTTTTTCATCGCAAACTAGAAGCAGCTTCCCATGGGGATGCTTTGTGCCAAGTTTGGTCAAAATCCATTCAGTGGTTCTTGAGAAGAAATCAAATATGTGAAAAGTTAATGACACACGACGACAGACAAATCATGATGGCAATAGGTCACCATGAGCCTTTGGCTCAGGCGACCTAATAAAAACCTAAAATAAATATGAGAAAAAAAATTAAGCAATAATACAAAATAAATGAAAGATTCATGGTAATTTTACTGTAAGTTTTCTCTCACATGGTCTCTCATAATATATGTGACCATGTCTGTGACAATGGGGCCAGATGAAAAAAAAATGTATGTTGAGATTGATACATTTTCTGAAAGCCTATATTGTACAATATATACATCCAAAATATTAGTGGTCTATGTATTACCATCACAGAGAAAATCCAATTTATAAACTGTATCGCAGCTCTTGAATTTACCACAAATTAAAACAGTCAAATAGTGATATTGTAGGTAACTGTATTTGACACCCCATTTAAGTATATCATATTTAAATCGAATAAAGTCAAACAATTATTTGAAATAACAAGAAAGAGTATATCTTAAAAATATGATTCATTAGTTCTAATGACAGCACACTTTTACCACATAATATATCGGTACAGTATGCAGCAAAGGGAGACAATCCATGTACATTTAAACAAAAATTAGTATCAACAATTGAGATAAAAAATTACAAAACATGAGATATGTGCATATGTTTTTTAATTGTCTGACATCAACTGCCAACACAAACAAATATTAATTCAAAAGTGATCAGTAATACAATTCCTAACAAGTCCAAGTTTCTCTTTGGTTATGGAACAGATAGCACATGCATAATACATAACAATGTGGGAGAATCATTAGGTTCCTTGGAAAACGCTGTTCCTGGCTTAGCAGAGTCAACAAAGAAAAAATGATGGTATTTTGTTAAAGTTTTCAAAGGCCTGAAATGTTGTTTTAAATATGACTTCAAGTCTCTACACATTGCTGGTCTGTCCTTATCTTTCACAAACTGTCGAATGTTATGTCTACTACATGAGAAATATGTCTTGGCAATCTTCTCTAGAATTTCAACGTGACTGGACCTAAAGCTTAACTTCCAAACACCAAAATGCCAGTCTGGATCAAACATTGCATTGCCAGCAATCATCATGGAGTATTGGATGACAACATGAAGACCTGTAAGATATTGAAATAGACATAAAAGAACTTTATATTCAATGTTGAATTGTGAAAGAAAAGAAAATAAAGTAATTTTGAAATGCCTCACCCTCACAGTGGATGACAGTATCAAACTAAAACAATATCAAAGTTATTTCCATAGAAGTAAAATTTTGACAAAGCTGACATCAACATAAAATTGAAAGAAACTACTCGTTATGATGAATATAATAGGATATTAAGTTGTGCGTCATTATTTTACACCCAAAATTATACTAATGAGGATAAGTAACACTATGAAAGGCTCCAGCTCTATGTCACCCTTTGACATATGACAGATTTTAGAGTACAAAAGTCAAGATTAAAATACATGTGATACACATCAGCAACTGATATAATTACCTAGTAAGACTCTCCAAAGGGCATACCACAGCACAATTTTGTTCTTATTCTGTCAACAACAGTTACCAAAATGGATGTTGACCATGTTTTTTCTATGTCCATGATGCTGAAAATAGTGATAAGACTTTGTAGACAACAGAGTTAGCTCCCTTCCATATCCCCGATCTTTAAGCCACATCCACCAAAATAGAACAGTTAAATGAAGTATAACTGAGTATATATAACTAAGAAAGCTTTTTTTTATCCATAGGAAGTTTTCATAGTGATGAAAATGTCTTTTCTTATCATCAGACTCAATTATAGCCTCCTAAAATGACATCATAATTGCATAGCTCTCTTAAAAATGTGTACATCGTAAAGAACGACTAGTATGTGTTTTGATTTTTTTAAGGATTTATAAAGCATATATTACAACTGATAGTCATTAATAAATATATAAGATATGTTAAAATGCAATATACCAGCATTGAATTTTGTACTTAAGTTTGTCAAATTCTTACTAAAATGATACATGACTGTTACCTGAATCCTCAAAAAAACTTTCTTGGGGTCTTAAAGAAGATAGGGCCAACTGGCTGAACCTTATGGGTAAAATGAATTTGCAGTGCAAAATCCCAGGAGTAATGGAAAGCTCCCTCTGTAGAACAGGGCAAATTACCTAAAAGGACACAAAGATACATCAATTTTTATTTCATTATTAAATAGATTATTCTTTATATGTTTTAATCCTTATGTAACTTACATGAATGGCCCCATCAACTTGCATGTTTTTAAGTAAAGCTATTCAAATAAATTGAAAAAATATTGCATAGTTGATGTAGTAAAATATGTCATAATCACTGTATTTATGAGTTTTTTCTTTATTTACAAACAACATGGTTAGGATATTATAGCTTCTGATATGAATTACCTTTTAATAAATTTCTATCAGTTGTTTATTTATCTGCCATAACCTTGTTTTCACATAGCTAATAGAATCACACTAAAATTGTTTCTTGAAAAATCTGATGTCATCTTTAAGTTAATTACCTTCTAATTTCTTCTGGAAGCAATAACTTTTCTTTGTTTTCTGTGCATTGCTGTCTGTATAGGGTCTCTGTTTGTTGAAACAGTTGCTGCATTCCTCCAAGACTTGTATCTTCTCATCATCATTTGCTGTACCAGTCAGAGATAATTTGTGTGAAAAAAATTTTGACACAAGTTGCATAAGTCTGTACATAGTTTCATGATGGTTATGTACAGACACAAATCATGGCATACTCTCTGAAACGTATGAAGACTTACTTGTCATGTCAACAGCAAATGTATCAGAGCGTGCAAGAAGCAGCTTTTCTGATCTATAAATTGGTAGTGTACCAGGAATAGGTGATGCATTGCCATTAGCATATTGGTCAAAAATGTTGTGATATGGTGTCTGTCATTCCTGAACAGTGTATTATGTGGAGCTTTCCCAGAATTTACATGTTTTCTTGGAATCAAGCCATCTGTGTCCAGTGATTTACTAACTGCCTGCAATTTGTTTTTGCTGCTATCATGTATAAAGCAAAATATACAAACATGGATTCCAAGAACATTCAAATCTTGATATGATTGTTCCCTCTCTGTTTTCTTGTTTCTATTACTGGGAAGGATCATTGAATCCACGATGAGCAAAAAGCTCAGTCTTAATTGTAATATCAAATACATTATGTGTTAATTGCTGACAATGTTCTCCGAATTCAAAATCAGATTCTAAGTCAATTTTTTCACTGCACAGTGCACCACTATGTAATTTACGGTTACATGTGTCATTGTGGAATTCAGCTCCACACCCCTAGAATCAGACGAAAGATCTCGGACAGCACCAGTACGATCGGACGATGTTTACAATTTTGAATAATGCAGCTGTTCCGCACAATCTCCATTCCATTTATGAGTGGTTGTCCTGAACCAAAATAATTCCTACCACTGGAGTTCAATTGTGGCAACTGAAAGCTGATTCAAAAGTATACTAACACAGACAAATACTTGAACTCGTGTCCAAACCCCTATGATCACAACATCATGACTGGGCACTGACATCGGTATCTGGCACGTAAACAACTAGGCTAGAACAAAAGTAAAGTCCACAACTGCATCATACATGACCGATTCAAAGGAAATGCGCGTGGTTCAAAATATCTCGTTCGTATTTTCAATGGTAAAGTTATCTTTAGGCCTATAAGTCCTCGTAACAGGCTACATTTAAAAAAATGCTTCAGCGTCTGGACTCATGTTGACATTGTTGAGTTTCTTCTGGACAGTAATGAAAGTGGAGTGATCTCCCCTACTAATCGGGTGCGTTCGATTAAATATATATATAACTAACGAAGTCGTCTTACTGGACAGTATGGTGGAGTCATCCATCAAAATGGAATATTAGATTGGTATTTTTTTTAGTTTTTGATAATATCATTTAAACTAAGTCATTTTTATTGGTTTATCGAATTAACAGCTCTCGCTCAGCGTCAAATCCAACGGTTGTGAGGTTGCATAAAAATATCACAGAATATCAAATACGGACATTTGCATAATCAACAAGGAAAAATAAGTAAGAGGAAGGAAGAAAAATTCTTTTACTAGAGTACCATGTGCCAAAAATGACGAGATGTGTCTCGCGACTTTAGACGACTTTTTCTCAGAATGAGGCTGGCCGCATCTGTCCTCATTTTTTGCGGTCACATGTAAATTAGTATAATGCCAATCTCTCCCATAGTACCTTGCGGCTCCTCAATAACAATAACAATAGAGATTGGTATAATGCAACGTCGTCATTAAAATATAATTGTGTCTCTTTTATCTCTGTCAAATAAATATCTCGCTTGTCTGCCTGGTGATATGGTACGTATTCGACCTGCGAGTTAACTCTCCGCTCTATCGATTTGTGTGCAACTGTGCGGTGTGTGTGTCGGGAGGGGATCAGTGTACGTATTCAAGCCTTGTATTTTGAGCTCATCAGCATAATTTACTCTGATGGGTCAAGGAGAGCTCAAGGATGGTTGTAGGTCAACAGTGAAACGAGGAGATACACGTTCCTTACTGACGGGTAAGTCTACAATTTTCATTTATCGTCTGATCTTTGTGTGTTTTAGTAACAAACGCACCAATATGATATTTAATCCGACGTGATTTTGCAAAAATAGAATTTCGTTTCAAATGAATAAGGCATGTTGTACACGTATGACTGAAAAGGCACATGTGCCGTACACCTGTGTGATTTCTGTCAATTCGAGTCAGGTATTTAATGTATTGTCAGAAATTGTGTTTTCAGTATAAATAGCGTATGTATACATCTGTACGCATATACGATTATATATTTGTGTTTAGTTTAATGGTTTGAGCGTTTCAACAGTAAGGCTCTCCATTTTCTGTCCAATTGTATTTTAAACGGACCATATCATCATGTCACACACGTGCAGTGATATAAGACTATCTTCAACGGCCCATTTTATTAATGTATAGTTTATGAGCCGACACGAAACAATAGCAAACCGGAAATATATATATTGTGACCTGTAACATGCACTTTTCGCCTATTCTGCTTTAGTAATTAAACTAGTTCCGGTCTAGACTGGCATTGTCACGTGTGTTAGTGTTGTCAACACATGATACCGTGTCACTTACAGATATCTTTTTGTTAAATTCCAAATCAATCAAGTTTTATTCTCAATAATGAGGGACGTTTTCAACACATCTAATGAAGAAGTTATAGGAGAGAAGAGTAGTTAATTTGTGAAATATCTTATTTTCGGAAGTGAGTAAATCGGATTATTACGCATGAACTACTGGATGTGTATACATTCTCTGTATTTTCCACATCTCTTTGATAACGACTGAATTTAAATAAAAAACAGTATTAAATGTAGGAAAGTGAATGGCTGAAATTCACCATGCGTTTGAGAATTGATTTCAAAGACGTGAGTGTTGTCAGATTTATGTAAGGCTTAAGCTACAAAGCATGTAGCTTTAAATTAGACGAAATGTTAGACTGAAGATAAAACTGGTGTTACACACTTGTAAAAAACAGAAATAGATATACATCAAAGGTACTATACATTGTTGCTTCACTTGAGATTCTGTAACTGATTACAAATATCACTTCTGTTGGGTTTTTGAATCTATTTAATACTTGCTCTGTTTAAAATGTTCATAACAAGAGGCACAAAAGACACGCTGAAACTGTGGAGCTTAAACTGTTTTCAAATATCTTAATTAAATTGACGTCTGAGACATTGGAATAAATCAATGTCATTATTTGATGATGATGATGATGATGATGATGACGACGAAACATGTTGATGATGATGATGATGATGACGACGACGAAACGTGATCTGGTCTCGTTTGGTGTGATCTAGTCTAGTCTTGTACAATATTTTGGTCCGGTCTCGTCATGTTCCAGATATTGGTCTGGTCTAGTCTGGTCTCGAGCAAGATTGTGGTCTGGTTAAGTCAGGTCTGGTCCTATAGTTTGGTCTGGTCTTGTCCCAGATTTGATTTGGTTTCATAGTTTGAATGCTGTTCTTTTCAGTCAATGTTTATTTTACCAATTAAAGAACATTAATACTACAAAATCCTGTTGACGTTATCAATTGATTAAGAAATATAATATTTGTGTTCAAATGATCAAACCACAAAGTAGTCCATGCTGTAGAATGTCTCAAGGGAGGATAGCTTTGTAATGTTTCACGACACAGCCATGTGATATGTTTTGTCTCTTACATTACCAGGTTAGAATGTGTTGACCTGTGTCACTTTCACACCTGTCATCTGTAGTCTTAATGAGCATAATACAAATCTTGAATTTATCAGATTAATGATAATTATGAAATATGTTGAATTAAGGCGCTAGTGCACCTTTCAGTCAAGAGTTTGAACAAATTCATTACTTGGCTCTACTGTGTCTTATTCTGAAGTTGTATGAAAAGGTGCATTTATGTGTCTTTTGTACATTCTTGTAAAACTAGGTAGACATTTATCGTATTTATAAGTCCATAAACTGATAAACCTGGTCCCAAATCTTACACGTTATTTTTCTTGATAAACATAAAACCTGACCGCTGTAAAAAGAAACGACTTTTGTTACTACAGTCTTTACTGATACAGAAAGCCTTGACATAACTGTGACTATAGTCTTCACTGATACAGAAAGCCTTGACATAACTGTGACTACAGTCTTCACTGATACAGAAAGCCTTGACATAACTGTGACTATAGTCTTCACTGATACAGAAAGCCTTGACATAACTGTGGCTACAGTCTTCACTGATACAGAAAGCCTTGACATAACTGTGACTATGGTCTTCACTGATACAGAAAGCCTTGACATAACTGTGACTATAGTCTTCACTGATACAGAAAGCCTTGACATAACTGTGACTATAGTCTTCACTGTTACAGAAAGCCTTGACATAACTGTGACTATAGTCTTCACTGATACGGAAAGCCTTGACATAACTGTGACTAAAGCCTTCGCTATTACAGGAAGTTTTGACCTGAATTTGACAATAATGTTCACTGTTATAGTAAGCCTTGACATGACTGTGACTTTATATTTGAATATAGTTAACTATTTACACACGGAGTGCAGATTAATTGGTATGATGGTGCTGCTGAAATTATCTCCCTTCTCTTGTGGTGAAATTAGTCATATGTTGAAGGTTATTAATTCGAACAAAGTGCCATGGACTTAACAGTATTATATCCTGTAAACAACCGTTAATTGAATTTTGATGGTCACTGATCCACATTCTATCCATTACAAAGAAGAGAGGAATTCGAGCTACAGGCCTGAAACCAAACCACGCAAAACTTGCAGCGTAAAAAAATGAGACCAGACCAGTTATAGAAAAAGGCCATAATTGGTGATGACTGCTACTGTCCCTAATTGATGACACATTTGATTCATTTGTCAATTTCAGGCCATACCCAAAAGCTATTCACAAAAAGACGATATAGTTTATCCGTCTTGGTCATTTGGAAGTGACCAGTATGGAATTGTATTTTTATACGGCTAGATCAATCTGAGATACTGTTATTCAAATAAGCAAAGCACCAGGTCAAATAAATTAACCGATTAATATTGTTTATTGGTTTTGGGGAGAATTCATTTATTAAACTACAGAACTGAATAAAATGGTATCTACATTGCTATGAGACATTCTGGCAATATTTACTGCGTAAAGGACATCCATTAAGTTTCGCTTGACTGACAGCGTTTTTTTTTTTTAAATAATGTACATTCCAAATACAATTTTCTAAGAACGATGCAGCTTTATATATATAGATTCTATTCAAATGCAATATATTTAATCATAGACTAAATCCCAAGATGACATTCTGTACAATTAGACATTTTAGTGGAATTCTAATTGCTTGGTTTCCCCAAAATAATTTTCACTTCACATTTGATTCATTGATGTATGCCATTCACGAGATACACCAGCTGTAAAAAGCCTTGTAATATCATTTTTGTGATTTCTTATATTAGCCAAACTTATTGATTTTACAGTATTCTACTTTTACATGTTCCATTAAACATTATGTATTGTTTTAATTGCAGATTTAACCCCCGTGAGATATGACGATCAAGGTGTGTGTCTGTGGGGGTGGTAATGGCGCTCACACTCTGTCTGGTCTCGCTGCCTCAAGGGACGGAGTCGAGGTCCGAGTCCTGACACTATTTGCTGATGAAGCCGAGCGCTGGACAAAGGCACTTGGAGGCGATGAATTGACGGTGATTGTAAATGAGAAAGACGGAACAAAAACCGAAGTCAAATCACGCCCGAAGGTCATCACCAAGGATCCGGTAGTTGCTATCAGTGGGGCGGATGTTGTGGTACTAACTGTTCCTGCTTTTGCACACGAGGGTTACTTCCAAGCTATGGCTCCACATGTTCAGGACTCGGCCCTTATTGTCGGCCTGCCTAGTCAGGCGGGTTTTGAATTCCAATGTCGTGATATTTTAGGAGACAAAGCTGCGGCAGTTTCAATGATGTCTTTTGAAACGCTTCCATGGGCTTGTCGCATTAAAGAGTTCGGCAAGAAAGTCGAAGTACTTGGTACCAAATCGGTACTTGCAGCTTCGCTTATCAAGGGTACAGCCGAGACGGTTGACCCACTGTCAACGCTACAGATGCTACATGGTGCCGAACCTGTCTTCCGTCTCGCCAAGCATTTCCTAGAGATGTTGATAATGAGCTACTCTTTTGTCCACCCTGCAATTTTGTACGGTCGATGGGGTACATGGGACGGTAAGCCGGTTGCTGAAGCGCCATTATTTTACCAAGGCATTGATCAAGCAACGGCGGACATGCTAACAGCGTGTAGCGACGAATGCAAGGAAGTAGCGAATGCCATCATGGCAGCGTGTCCAGGAAACGACCTTTCGGATGTCAAGGATATCTACCAATGGTATTTGGAGTATTATCATGAAGATATTCAGGACGACAAAGACCTATACCACGCTATTACCACTAACAAGAGTTATAAGGGGCTTGTACACCCAGTAAAGGCTGAAGATGGTGGTGTTGTTCCTGATTTCGGGAATCGCTACCTGACAGAGGATATACCTATGGGGATGATAGTGTTCAAAGGAGTAGCTATTGCGGCTGGGGTTCCCATTCCTAAAAACGACAAACTAATTATGTGGGCACAGGAGAAAATTGGAAAAGAATATCTTGTAGATGGGGCTCTAACTGGTAAAGATGTGGCGACCACACGCTGTCCACAACGGTATGGATTCAATACCCTGAATGCTATTCTGACTGGTAAAAAGGAGTGAATGACAAGTGTATCTAGGTACTTACCGTTTTCCGCATTTATTGCAGATACCGTGACTCAAATACCTGTTCCAAAGAATTGTGCATATGTGAAAACACGTTGCATTTAAATGAATCGTTTTGTACCTATGATAATTCCTTCCAAGTGAGTTTATACTTTAGACCCCAAACATCAAAGGGCAGATAATCAATACAGCTTTTAGGCTATACTATTTATAGCTTTCGTCTACCCTAGATAGGTGCATCCATGCTGTTACTGGTGTGATATTTCCTTATACCCTAGAGCTAGGACGGGATAATCTTATTTATGATGTCAGGACAGAAATGCCATCCCATTGATTTGTCAGTAACATTATATGAAACGTTGAGAGAAATATGTCCACGATTAAAAATCGCTATTAATAATATGCCAATTTGTCCTTAGGTGATTGAGAAAATTAAGACCAAATACTTAATGTTGAAAGATGAATTTGTCATATGCCCTAAATGGGTGAGTATACTACATTGTAGACTAAAACTTAATTAACTAAATTTGTGATATAATTCAGTACTGTGAAGTCGTAAATTTTCATGGGTCTCAAATTTCAGAGTTTTTTCTGGAAAGGTATACATTTTAGTTGGCTTTCAGTTTTGTCATAAAATTCATTAGTGTTAAAATGAATGTCTATTTTTTTATCTGTTTACCATTTCGTTGAGATATAAATTCGAGGATTCAGAGGAAAAAAGAATTCGACTCACTAAAATTAATTATTTTACAGTATTTGACCGTATTGGACAAAATCTGTTTTTTGAAGAGTATATCATATTATAAATATTGATATACAAACGTTTCCATATATCACACCAGGAGTTTTTTAATGTTCATGTATAACATGAATCCCTTTACAAGATGACCTAATTAGTCCGAGCTGTTCGTTTTTCCAAACAATTCCGGAATAACGAATTTTGCAAATTGAGGAAAATGCGTCAATCGCCGTTAATTTCTACATTTATCTCATATGAAAACCTTTTTATAATGAATTCCTTACGCGTCACCCTGTATAGATTTTTTTTCTGGATCGCTAACATGTTAAATATCTGGTAGTGTATCTAAATGTACCCTTTTAATGCTTATGCGTTATGAATGGCTTAGATCTGTGATAGACGTCAGTATTTATTTTACTTTTTAATTCCAATATTTAGATTTTTGTCAAGAATGTCTATTAAAGTTAATTGGTTGATATTGAATGGATTTTTTTTTATTTTTCGTGTTTGTTGTTGATTCATGACACAGCTAGAAAAAAAAACAAAAACAAAACTACAAATCATGCTGCTGACCAATATATATAAGAGTCTGCATTTCCCTCACAGATTTGAACTTACCAGATTTATTCATATTATTCAACACTTTATTTCACGTCTTTACAACAACCATGGTCATATAAAGATACGAAATCATTCAGACTCTCCTTTAAATTGCAAGCACCTGAATCGTATGGAATCATGTTGATAAGGAGCATGCCAACGGTCAGTTTCGATAGCCAACTCATTTTCAGCGAAGGAGCACCGATAATCATTCTTGTTCAAGACACAAAATTCATTACTACCCTAGAATCACATTCAAAATTAAGGTGAAGGACAAAACAGTAAAACCAAGTTATCTCTCGGAGGACAAGAGGTAAGGATTCATAAATATTTTATTTTCCTCTTCCTATCATGTAATGAGGACAGCAGGCACACACCTTACACCTTACCTGCAGGTTATATCTGAAAGCCACGAGTAAAATACTTAACTCCGGATGTGATTTGTGAAAACAACATTCTAAATATAGGATATGTATGTATCACATTTACTCCAAAGCCAATGGCGTCGCAGAAATTTTATATAGAGATTATAGTACACAGTTATACAAAAATGAGGCGTGTTTATGAAACACTTTGCCCCAGGTGGTTACAAAACTCTGTAGTGGGACATTGAAAACACTTTGTAAAGCATACCATAAGTGATCGGAAACTGTAAATTATTGGAAGTTTTACAAGTTCAAGGGGCGTAACTCTGTCAAATATTAAAGCTTACCTCTTGCGATAGTTAAGGTCAATGTTTAAGTTTTTCAAAAGCAGGTCAAAGGTCACGGTCACACAGTGATACTAATTAACGCGTGGTATTACCTGGTACCGTCCGGAACCATATATTGACCGCCAGGCTTTTATTTGCACCTATGTCAATTTGAGGTTGTCTTATATGCAAAGATAAACGACATTAATATAAAAGTCAAAGTATATTGCAAAATAGTGAGAAATGAATCTCGCTTTTGTATGGAAAATTTTCTGTCTTTCGAATCGGGTTAAACATTTTTTCGACGTGGGAATGTAAAATGAATCGATATCATAAAGGGCACTATTTGGCCATCGCATTTATGAATGTTGTCATATACCTGTTATAACAATTCAGTACAACTGATAGGGGACAATGTTACAGGGTTTATTGGAAATAAACTTGTGCGATAACGTCTTCATGTATGCTGATATTAACGCTGTCAATATTTATGTCAAGTGTTTGCTATGTGTCAGCTGATGGTGAGATGGTGTGCAATTGTAAATATGTCACAGACATTTGTCGTTATAGAAATCAAACAGAAGTCTTATTTGTTGACATTATTACAAATCCATGTCAATATAGATAACTTAACTAACGGTAAATGTTTAACAACTGATTCATCATGATCATTTCAGTCATACATTCATTCATAGCCTAGATCTCTTGTGCTATATCAAAATCTGTAGGAAAACCAGTCGGTACCATTAAAAATTTATAGCATTTAATTTACACACGGAATCGTTACAATTTCAGATATTTGTGGGGCTATACACTGGACAAGTAATTCAACATACTTCTTGTGGTGTCGCTTTCAATTTGCTATATCATGAGGTATTGTTAAAAGACTTGATTGAAATATGTGAAATTGGGAACTTTTTCATTTTCTTTCTAAACACTGATGCTAAAAAGAACAACATCAGATCCCCGTATTAAAATCTTACATTGTTGATATTAACAGAAATGAAAATGGTGAAAATTTGTTTCTCATGTTTTGTTTTGTGTGTTTTTGTCATTTCTGTTTTGACGTTTTATCACTGATTAGATATTACTGATCTATTCTTAAAAAACGTGTTTATAATTCTGTCATTAAAACGGTGACTGAGTAGATGGCTGTCCTCCTGTGTGGAGGGTAGTTTTTGTCTTTAACAATACTGATGTCAGTTTAATCATGTTTCATTAGGATGTTCAATAACACTTTTATATTGGAATGTTCAGCATATTATGATCTTCGTATTGGATCAAACAAGTTTTCAGAGTTTTACAATGTTTTTAACATTTTGAGAAGAAAACTATTACTGTCTCAAGTTCAGTAGATACTATTCACAGTACCTACGTGGAATTTGTTCTATACCTGGACACTGAATTTTGTGAGGTATTATTTGGGTTACAGTATCTTACCTGTCACATGTCACATGTCACATGACTCCAACAAAGGGGGCATCAAAGCCACGACCTGTGATTGTGAAGTTCGCGAGAAATGGCATGATAAGAGCAAGAAAACCTCATAATATTTTTCTAGTGATGAGTGCGGACGTGATCAGACTGATTCATAAAGAGACTGAACGATGATCGAATCAGCTTGGTATTACAAACTCGAATGTGTAAGCAAAGACTGTAACAGGTGAGAGAAAACAATTTGAGATATTTGTTTCTATAGATGAAAAACTGAAAGATCTAACATGAAAATAGAGAACTGCAGAAACATTTGACACACTGATAACCCCTAATCCATTGACTTAGCAATTTACAAAATGTGTATACCCATAATGATGTTACATATCAGGCGACTGTGATGTCAGGCGACTGTGATGACAGTGATGATATGATATTAAAATATATTATAGTTTAATTAGTTGACTGATAACTTATAAACTGCAAATATGTATATATCATTATTATGTAACTATAACATAAACTATGTTGGTAGTGCAAGTATATACGTGTATCAGGTAAATTGTCAGTAATAATTATGCTGAATCTGATACCAAAATCAAATGTTATGTGCAAACACAATATTTACTTCATATATGTCACATGTTTTGACAAAATATATAACTTTTTTTGTCTCAGAATTATATGAGGTACTGTATTATCTGAAATATTCATGGAAGAAACTATATCCACTAAAATGTATGATGACATATGCTAATGATCATTCCAATTACATTCAATTATTATTATAATTTGTTCTGGAATAAAAGAAGAAGAGTGCGTGATCTTCATACATGATTTACTGCTACATAACTGCCAATTACCTTTGTGAGGAACAAATAGGTGAGTTATTTACCAAACAAATTCTGATTACTAAATATGTAAAAGTTTATTACCCTATACTTTAATATATGCAATGATTTTATGTAATGAACTTGTATGTTATAATAGACAGGTATTGGCGCCAATACGAAACAGACAAATATGTGTGTCAGTAACACAGTTTTATTTGTACATACTCTATGGTATTGGAACAATCCGTGTTACAGTAAATGGTTTGTCAATAGACTACGTCTGTCATGGGGCTTAAATCTGTCATTACGTCAAGGTATGTTACAGGCCTTTATGGTAATGTGTGTGTCATGAGACGTAGGCCCATCATTAGACCAATTATATCTTATATCGGTAATAGCCAAATATAGAATATCTATGGCGTTCCTAATGCCATATTTATTTCTTTACAGTCCTCGTTCTCAAAAACAAAAGTAGTGTCTGCTGTGTTTGTTTACCGTGGCAACATGGCGGGAAATATCATGGCTGGTTTGTGTAAAATTCCAGTTACCTGAAGAAATACCCGCCAAAGTCATTGTTTTAGAATTCCAAGAAAATATTTTCATAGATATAATATTACGACGATGATAATCTGCTATTACATCTTATAAATAATAAATGTTTACAAAACATCATCATAGTTTGTCGAATAAAGTCGACAACGGCACGGAAAGAGTTGATGCAATGTAAACATGCTGTTGATATTAAAGAATAGGTTATTCATAATTCCAGGGTAAGAAAACCGTATCTCATGGCGAAACATAGAAACTACAGGAAGGTAAGCGTCTTCTGTCACGTCGACGACATATGTCATGTCATCTTTGCCAGTCCAAATAAACTATATAGGTCGCGTTCTCGAACGGGAGCAAGGTTTACAACAACGACAAAAATTTCTCGAATGGTAACAAGGTTTACAACAACGACAAAAACTTTTCGAATAGGAATAAGGTTTACAACAACAATGAAAGTTCTCGAAAGTGAACAAGGTTTACAATCCTGACAAAAACGTCTGGAATAGGAATAAGGTTTACATTAACGACAAAAACAAGGTTCACATTAAAAAAAACCCACACAAAAACCAGAAAATTTAAGAACAAAACCCAGGGATACCAATTAACGAGCATCAGATACATTATTATTGATTTTTCACAAGGGAATATAACATTTTCCAAAGAGATAACTGATGTACAAAATGTAAGTAAATTAGGCAAGCATGGTTGACATGTGGCAAGAGCCTGGCTGAACGGAACTACGCGATTAGTATCTTACTCAGCAAAAATAGTGATAAACTAAAGGATAAGCTAGGAATCACAAAACACGTTTGTAATAATGAAATGCATCAATGATAATACCACGCTCGCTCCAAATGGCTACGCCATTATTCATAATATAATATTATTTATTTTGATGTCAATAACCGTAGCGACTAAAACAACTAAATGACTAAATAAGATGATCTGACCACACGAGAACATTGTAAAAGGTTTGCTTTCAAAATGTCTGCTGTCCGTTAAGACCATCATTTTGTTTAAAACGCTACATCATGCACTGAATCATATCTGCGTTTGAAAGAGCCAATACTGGAAACTTCTAAACGTATCGGAAGTTCTCCAGAAATGTATCGACTACTTTTTCCTTCCACATCATATAACTTCCAGTGTGCTTACGATCACTTTCGCTCTCTGCACACTCAGGGTATGTCTTGACAAAATTGTCAAGGCATAAGCGAAGCAATTTGATTTGTTCCGGGAGAAACAATTGACCAACCACAGACTGAAACGCTCCTTTTGAAGATTACCAGGGATCGACACATAACTTAAAAGCCATTATGATATACCGTTATGCGACATCTGGATTCATTTGATGTTTATCAAAGGATCAAACCAGTGTTTTTCTTCTTGTTTACATGATGTCGCACATGGATCCTTCAGTTTTGCTATCACATGTTCCAGTGATGTAGAGAGCGAAAGTGATTGTAACCCCTGGAATATCGCGGATGAAAGATACCCAGTACTATCGGACAGAGCGTAACGAAGGGCAGTAACTCTGGAAGATCAGATATGGCCGTTCTTCTTAATTCAGCCTAGATTCTTTTTCATTTATTTTCACCACGACCACATGTGTCACCGACCCCATGGCCAGTTTCAGGGTACAGGGCAAAACGTTATCATTTCTAAGAGCAAGCTGCATTTTGAAACAATAATATATAAGTACTTATTAACGGTTACCGAGTAAATATTGATGTGATAATACTAATTTTTAAGTTAATGACCATGATGCGAGTACATCTGATTAAATCAGATGATCTGAACACACATGGGCATTGTACAAGGTTTTTCTTGCCGAAATATTCCAGTGGCGTCTGTTCGTCAATGCTACTACTTCGTTTAAAATGCTCCATCATGCACCAGAGCATATTAAGGAGCAAACTGCTATAGGGTTATTTATAGGTTAACTGCTTTTGTAAAACAGAGCAGAAAGGTCGATAAATTTATGAGACTGTTGTTATATGGTTGTAAACAAGAACTCGATTATTGCTGGGGGTTCAAAGATCAACTGATATATTTTTTTTATCGATTCATTCATTTTATTTTGTTTCAACTCATTTACTTATTTTTCTGATATTCTATTAAAAATTGCCAATCCGATATATTTTCGCAATGTGTTGTACACGCTATCGTTTTAAAGGTGCCCAATAGATGCTATTATATATGTTATTGGTTAAATCGCTTCCAACTTCTCTAGGTACAGTTGTGGTAACGCACAACGCACCAAATACTTCGTGCGCACGATACAGTAACGTGCTCACAACTGTGCGATAGGACCGTACATTTTGTGCGGTTTGGTAAAAATGGTTGGCTAATATTACGGATTGAAAATTAAACGAAAATTCGTGAAGTTACCACTAAATAGCGATCACGTAAATAATGATGAGTGATTATAAAAATCAATCTTTATTCAACAGTTTTCGAAATAGCACTGGACCAGCAATAATCGAAGCCGAAGCATATACATTTTGTTTAAATAATGAATAAAAAAGAGAATAATACAGAAGAAATGAAAATAAAATTTCCTTTCCGACGGTATGAGATTATTAACGATTAATTGCCGTGAGGTAAGGAGATGTTCATTTAATGTTTACATATTTAATGCATATATAATGTGAGGTCGCACACCTGCTGCATTCTATGTATAGAACCGACTGGTTGGCAAAGTCTTCGGGATCCTACTTCTTTTATCTTGTCCAATGTTTTGTTGCCATTTTTCATGTTCACGAATAGCTGCAGTTGTCCACATTTTAATCCTTGAATATGGATGAAACATCTTGTTTTCATATCGGACGTTGATGCTTTATAATTTTCACTACGCCTTTTCTTTGACGGCGGGCCACCATCTTTTGGGGGGTCCTGGGTATCAGACGAACCTTGTATCACTGTCCGTGTATGTATTAAAACCAATCACTATATGCTTGTTCTTTATCATACAAAAATGCTATCCTACACTTATTTTTGACTTCGTGTCAGGTCGTTTTGAAATACATGCTCCAATCTCATTTACATGGTATTTGTCTTTACAAACTTTTCGCTTTTGAGCATCGCTGATGAGAAATTAGTTTTCGCAATGTGTCACATACGGTGCACCAAAATTTGGGTCTTATATCTTATATTATATTCTCCCCAAATGAAACAAGAAAGCTAATACTGTGTTTCATTTAGGATATATGGTGGCGTTCGTCTTCATGAAGTTGTGATTGACTGCTCCGGGAAGTTGTTATGAATCTGTGTTTTATGTTGATTGAATGGGGATTGAGAACAGGTATGTAAGAAATTTGACCCCCCCTCCAAAAAAAAAAAAAAAATGATGACAATCATTTCGTGAAAATGTTACATTTTGACCTCACAAGCGACACAAATTCATTTTTGTTGAGATAAATCTATGCATAGTGGTTTGTTTTGTTAACAGATCTGTTTGTTATTCTATTGCGGTCATTTTGGTAGAAAAATAACGATTTTATGAGGTTTTTTTCACATTTTGGTGCACGGTGGACCCTTCTAGCTCCCGGACTATTATATTAGTTGAGTGGAGTTGTTGAAGACATCCACAGGCATGGAAAACTGCTATTTTTAGCTGCAGTATAAGTAGTCACAGGAGTGACAGCAGCGATAATAAAATCGCCGTTTTGTCATGCATGAATACCAGAACGCCCGTCTACATCAAGATGAAAAGGACAACGGAAGAGTGGGATTTACAATTAATGTATACTTACTTATGTGACGTGAGAGACCCAGACGGAGCATTAGTCTGACAATATGTGCCGTGATATTGTCATGTTGACGGGAGAGTGATGTGATCACTGTACCGTAATATTGTGTCGTGTTGATGGAAGAATGATGTGATCACTGTACCGTAATATTGTGTCGTGTTGATGGAAGAATGATGTGATCACTGTACCGTAATAATGTGTCATATTGATGGAAGAATGATGTGATCACTGTACCGTAATATTGTGTCATGTTGATCATGTATTAATAATGTGTCATATTGATGGAAGAATGATGTGATCACTGTACCGTAATATTGTGTCATGTTGATGGAAGAATTATGTGATCACTGCACCGTAATAATGTGTCATATTGATGGAAGAATGATGTGATCGCTGTGCCGTGATACTATGCTGTGTTTACGGGAGAGTGATGTGATAACTTTGCAGTATAAATTATGTCAGAATGATGGGAAGTTTACCTGAATTTCGTAAAATATTTCCTGATTGTCAGTGATGTTAAATATATAATTACACATTGTAAAAATCAATATCATTGTACGCAGAATAGTTTACCATCAAATCAAATACATTTGAAAAACATGAAGAATGAAGCATCTAAAATATACGTATATAATATGGATATTGCAAACAGGAGTATATCGTATAAAATCTTCATGAGTATCAATGTGTGTTCCTTGTTCATCTATGCAACAGGCAGAACAAACTTTTTAGGGAAAAAGACTAATACATGATACCAATTACAAACATTATAGAGTTTAAATTGATATGGTATGGAGTTTTTTTTTATAAATACATACACGGAGAAGACTTAATAATAATAATTCATGATATAAATTGACAGTGTTGAAGTTGATTAACATATCCCACATTTGAGTAACGAATCCGAAACCAGCGGTCAATTTGAGATTCGCACTTTTTGTGTTTTTTTCGACGTATCTCTAAATATCTCAAAATTGTCACAAGTATAATACTGCAAAATAACCTGTGGATATTTTGGGGCAAGGTAACTTTGTGACGGATATAATGTTTTCGGTTACCTTTAATTTACTGAGTATCCAATTATTCTAATTATAGATATTCCCAGTTCAGTAAATTTAAATACTTGATATCAGATAAAAGATAGTTTCAGTACAGACTATCTGACATGAAATCTCAAACAGAATGATCATCAATCAATCTAGCACTTTGAGTAAATAATTATATTTAGTGCGATATGAAGCTGGACGTGGTTGATGCTCGCTATTGTATAAATATTTGGATAGACCAAGGTTTGCATGACGGATGTCGTCAGTGAATCAGAAAACGCTTAATCTTCCGCAATACCTGGTATTATTCTCCTTGTGCAATATTTAGGCGTTTCCGTGTAATTCTTTCTTTTGATTATATTTTGCTCTTGTTCTATTGAGTTTTAATGTGGATTATGATAATATTGATACGTCTGTTTTTCTCTTTTTTTATACAAATTATACAAAATGACTAAATATTGAGGAAATGTCTTGGGGGCTTATGAGGATCTTATCATTTGAGTCTGCCATGTATTTGTTGATATGTAGCCTATGTATTATTAATTACGTATCCAACCATGAAACATAGTCACTTTATATATTTCTGTATAGCATGCAGCGAATCTTTAAACGTTAGCAGTGATGTATGTAAAGGACAAGGGATCTACATCCTGGTTTTGTCGGATACGTAGAATTACAACCGCTTCTGTCACAGTCATGGTTTTCACAAGTAGGTATCTATATCGGTATTATATATCGTAACTAGAATTTGGAAAGCAGTACTCCGTATCGGTGGCATAGAAATTAAATCATATTTATATGAAGTCTAAAGAGATAATTACCACTTTAGTATCAAGGTAGTATATCAATAACAGGTTTACTATAGAACGCGGATCGATTAATCTAATGATGTTTTTATTACTAAAAAGAGATACTGTTGAATACACTCCAATAATGCCTCGTACAAATGCATACAAAAAGTAATATACACTCTGTACTCTGAAATATGTTATTGTCAATTCGATGAGATTTGTATTTTATTTTTCAGATAACGCAATTGTTGGTTCAAGCTTCAATTTATTTCCGTGGTTTTCCGATAAGGTTGTCTCTGCTGATGTCTTCCATGGTAATACAAACAGCTTATACACATGTTTGAGCTTGTGTCTGTTTCACGTTGGATGCAGTATCGTCTTTTATGAAAATGCGACAAGTTATTGTTCTGGAGGAGACGAAAGGGACATGGGAATGTTCCTTCGAAATTTGATTGTTCGGAACGGGACGAAATCGTACCGCCTTGATTCTGGTAATATAACTTTCTTAGTAACAACTATTTGCAGACCACACAGTTATAAAAATACATTTACAGTAAAATACACAGACAAACTAACAGGAATTTTGATATTTGGTGTAAACCACTGTTACAATTCTTATTTGCAATCATAGACCTCTGTATAGCAATACATTGAATGTAGTGAACGTGAAAATAAAACTTTCCAATATTTATCACCCCCTCCCCCTACACACAGAAAAAAAAAAACAAAACAAAAAAGCTATGTTATGCTTTATCCTATGCTGTGTTACCATGCGTTGAGTTTGACGTCTAACTTAGCTAGGTCAGACGAATTCAAAACCATATGGGTCTACTCGTATGATATACTTCAATCTTGTATTACATTGTAGTACCTTTCTTCATCTGACATGACACATACATTTTCAAATAATCCAAGTAATACATGTGCTAGAAGGGATATAAAACTTTATATTGACTTTTTTCATTGTTTTCATTTTACATGTTCATATTTCAAGAATTTTCTTACTTTTAAAGGACGTTGGAAGGGGGTGTCTTTGTAGGTTTTATTTTAATGAACATTTTGTCACAATTAATCGAGTTCAGTTTAAAAAAAATCATTGAGACAAAAGTATTTTCTTAATTTTACTGTCATACAGAATGTGACAGCGCTGGCTACGTATTGAATAGGGAGACAGGCCAATGTTTGAAAATAGTTCCAGAGAAGAAGAACTGGCACGACGCCCAACAGTACTGTGAGGACGACGGTGGTGCATTAGTTATGTTTGAGACACCAGAAAAGACGGCTGGTTTAAGACATATGTCATTCTTTTGTAAGTTGTTTTTTATGTATGTTTATATCAATATCAGTGTATTTTTGTTATTTCGGAAATCTATTAATACATTTCATTTTTAAATGTTTAATATTTAAATGAATTTCATTACAGATAACGGTAAATCCAGGTCGTTCTTTGTCGGAGTAACAGATATAGCATCAGAAGGTGTGTGGACTTGGCTGGATGGTACTTTACTACAAACACAGGACATAAATACAAAATTCAACAATGCAAACTTGAAAGATGCGGTCAATACATCTGCTGACTGTGGTGCTTTCAACCCGAAACTTTTTCTTCTGTTTGACGCCAAGTGCTCCGCAAAGCTTCATTTCATTTGCGAACGAAGGAATTAGAAAGAGCATGCCTAACTATGATAATGCTAAGTGTATTGATGATAAATCTATTTAGGAGTCTACCATCCTGTAATATTTGTGTATACATTGCTAACGGTTATATATCACAAAACGTCTACAAAATAAAGTTAAACTAACTAATCTATCAATTTTGTGTTGGGAGGTTAGAGATTGTTTGTATAACAGATTGTGGTGTTTAAGTCTGAAAAAGTTTAGGATACAATGACCTGAGTCAAACGCTTTATAATAAACAAAGAGGACAAATCTGCTGTGGCAGTCTCTTCTAAACATCTAGGATCCAAAACTCACCGGACCAAATCAGCTTGGTCAATTTGTCAGTAGTTGTTAATGAGGTTCATAAAAAAGGAATTGGACACCTGATTGTATTTGTTTTTCAGGTATGGAGGTTGATACAAGGATTTTGCTACAGATATATTTGATACGGATTTATTATAAGCAGTGTTATTTTAAAAGCAAATGAGTCAAGCTGACTCAAGCTTAGGCTATTGGGTAATGACTAATATTAATCTAGTCAGTTAGTATAAGCTTTGCTAATGGCCATAATTTTACATTATAGTATAATTAGCGAAGTTATTGAGAATTTTAGTAGCTTGGCAAATCATAACTGAGTACTTCTATTACATTTGTGTACCGTTTGAATATTTATGTACAAACCATTAATGTTTATCATTAAAATAACTTGTGTGGAAGTCATGTGTCCTTATCTCATCCTCGGGCATGGAAAGGCTGGTATTTTCAGAAGTAGTGTCAGTGTTCATATAAGTGACAGCAAGAACAGTAAAATCACCGCTTTGTCACGCGTGATTACTAAAAACGAACGGCAACATCAAACTGTACTAAAGAATGTAATGTGAGAGATCCGAACACGGTAATTGGATTAACAACAGTACAATATATTAATACTTTTTCTTTTTATGTACATATTTATAATTATGATAATCAGACGTAATAAAACTGTTTAAATAAGATATTGTTTATAGAGAATTACTAGTAAATGCTACGAAGTGCAATGTGAAGTATGTTAAAGTATCATATATGTAATTTGTCGCTGGCGTTTGGCGACAACTGCACAGTGAAATCGTGTGATGGTTATGAGGAATGTATCTGAATATTATGGAGTGTGATGATGTGATATTTAATATGGATGATGCAATTGTGTGCAAGGTGCCACGGTAATGAAGAATTAATGTGATTACTGTGCAGTGCTATTGTGGCATGCTGACAAAAGATTGATGTGAGTATTTTGAAATGAAGTAAACAATTGTTGACCTCTCGGTCAGTGTCAAAGTTTGACATCGGGCAAAAATATGGTGGCATTAATGACAACACTGAAGGAACAGTTGATCACTGTTTGTATGCCAGAGATTAGCGTTGACAATTCGCATTTTCGGGAAAGAAACTTGACGCTATTATAACCAAAAATGTATCATTAGTTATCACTGATATCACAATATGAATATCGGTAGTTGAACAGTGAAAGTACAAAATGTACACACTACGGCTGGTGATTGTTAACTAGCATTATTCTTCCGTGATACCATTCATAACACATTAATTGATGTAATCATTGCCCTAAATCGAAAAGTTTCGAGAGCAATATATGGACGTGTCATGTAGGGCACCACACGGTATAAATGACTTTCTAATTGTCAATGAAGTTTGATATAACTATATATGAACAAAAATCAATATTATTGTACCGATAAATTCATCGTCATATCAAACACGTGCAGAATTAAAGGACAGAAACTTACGTGCATGTAGTGTATATATTTCTATCGATACAGCGATATATTATTGATAGAATTTGAAACGTTTTATTGATCCGTGTCCCTTTGTTCAGATAAGCGAGATAAACTATCATTTAGAGGAAACCAATAGGAAATTCTAGTCGGTTTAGTATTCGTCACCACTTCGTGTCTTATTGGTTATTCTGTCAGAAATGCTGGCATGTGATCGTTTTTGTGTGCTAATTTTGTGAATGTTTTTTTTCATAAGCTTTCTCTACGTTTTAATGTATTCTTATGGCCTGGTTTAGAATTTACACATGCTTTTTACATACTTTTGAAATTAATCAGATATATAAAAAATTCGTGTGTTATTGAATTATGGTGCTAATACGTTGTACATCTCTCCATATAGATTTTGATATTTTATTTGATCACTTTGAATCTTCGTCACTCGGCATAGGATGTGTTCCACAAGTTAGGCTCCTAGCATGACTGCCATGTTCTAGACTGACAAAACTGCTGTATGACGCGCTTTGGTTCATTGTATGTCTTTACTTAGTCAAATTACAAATTAGGATTTAAAGTGTAATTTGTAACACCAGTCATAACATTTTCTTCAATTCCTTACATTCCATGGCATTTGCCCCAACCCTCCTACCCCCCAAAAAAGACACAGTAAGCAGTACAAGCATGTAGCGTGTAGTAACCTGATTGCATTACCACGTCGATTTCAACAGGCAAACACTGAATTTTATTTTCCAATAAAACCAAAACTTTAAGTGAGAAGCAATAATACAAGATCTTTATATCCGAAAAACTGTCATTTATTCCTCCCAGGTGATGGCATTAATGTGTTCAAGCTTAACCGATATCTTGACGCACACACAAGTGTCACTAACAGGCTAACACGGATGATATATCAGTGGGTGAGATATCGGTCGAAATGTCCTTATCAATACCAGTTAATGGTAAGTATGACGATTTGGCCCAGATAATCCCTTTTAATGATTTTTATGGTTATTCTCACTTCTAAGTATTGATATATTGACATTGGAGTCTGGTGGATGATCTGGAGATCTTGCTGACTACATCTTCTAACTATTGATATACTGAATAAGTACAAGGCCAGACTTTTTCAATGACTGTAAAATTCTTTAATACATTGAGGAGCATCCCCACTCACCCCTCTCCCGCCTGAATTGTTGGTGTTTATTAATTATGTTTACAATACAATTCAACTTAAGGCGAATTTTTGCAATGTGTATTAATAGAAAAAGTTATACATTTCGGAACGATACATCCATGAAGCATAATAGCAAACAAAACATTGCAAGGCTTTTGTATCTATGCCTTAATGTCAGGAAAAAGGTCAAGGGTGATTAAAGATTTAGAAATGTTAATTACCTAAAGGTAAACATTCCGTTTAGCTGATCCAGTATATTTTCATCAAAAGGCTGAAAAATTACGATATCCGACAGCGACCGACCAAAACGCATCTTCTGCTACATAAAATCTTTGAGTCTAAACATTCTACGTAATTGAGCACAAAACACAATGCAGATAATTGTATACAGGAAGTAGAGACATAAAACAGGATTGTTATGAGTTCCAGTTTATGTAATGAAGTAAATATATCGAAGTACTACTCAGTTGCTCAGTAGTGCATGTATCCCATTTTCAAACATAAGACATCGCCGTTCTTTGGAAAAGCTTTATTTTTACAACGTCATTTATTAAGTCTCCAGCATATCGTATGATATATAAAAAGTATAAATATGAAACATGAAGTAGTGAACGAAGATTTACCTTTGCCTGTCCTGAGATATATCCTAATTCCTGGTCACCAAACTAGTTACAATCAGATTACTTTCACGCACTATGGTCCGTTTGCTAGTACTTCGACAATTACATGACGTACCGCTGTGTGTAAGCATTCAACAGTTATTGAGGAATGTTTGAGTTTACGTACATACTACATGTAATGGTAAAAGTCAATTCCATGGTCCTTGTTTAATCTAACAACATGTTAATTGTTATGTCATCTTTATCGAGGTTGCTAAAACTTGGCGAAAACATGAAAACAAACTTATGAAGTGGTCTGCAATCAATTACTAAATAGATGCAAACTTTGAAATCCGATCAAAAGATTTTAGTCCCAAATTGTGGCAATAGATTAATTTTAAATCATCACTTAATCAAACATGATTGAAATAAGTAATGTGCATGTCTATTGGACTACATGATGCGTTGATTTAGTTGCAATAGATCAATATTCTGTATTTGTCTTTGTCTCTTTTAACACTGCTTAATCAACGGAAATGCTACATTTGAAACACATGGTCTTTTTAGACTGTTATCATTAAGTAAGCATTTTCGGTAACACATGGTATTTACTTCGAATCTAAATGTTTAAATCGGCTTACCACCTACATATACTGAATTCTTATTTAACATCCTTTAGGCCAGCAGTATATTTAAAAATTGTGTGGTTATTCAAAGTCCATTCCTATTTTCTTCGTTTGCAGATAAAGTGAAGTTTTGCGGTGCATTTGGCGTCATACATAATAGATAATGTAGGGTTAAATGCACCATATTCTGGTGTTATGTTGGGAGTATTCTGCATGTCGTCATTGTTGAACCGTGTCGCATTTCCCTGTGTTTGTACTAAAATACCGTCCAGCCAAGTCTATAAACCTTCTGATGCTATACATGTCACGCCGACAAAAAATGACTTGGCATTGCATTGTCTGTGAACGAATGAATTGAAATATCAAACATGTGTAAAACTAGAATCTGTAAAATTATTCGCAAATATTATCACTGAATTTAACATATACATAAGATGTAAACAATTTGTATTCCGCAAAATCCTGTAATACATTGCAAACAAAATAACAAAATCCATTATTACGAATTGTGACGATTTAGATGTATTCAACGTTCAGAGGTCAGAGAATAGACCCAACGAGAGACTGCTAGTACGATTTTTCTTTAACAGTTACAATACTTAAGCTTGAAATCCGAAAAAAAAAAACGTTTTACCACAATTTCTGAACCGCACGAAGGCACACAATTTACTCATAATATTAAATATCTTTAAAGCACCTTATGATATACACACAAAAACAAAACATGCTACTTGCTTAACAAAATATAACATAGCAGCCATAATTCCAGCATATCTACTGGTAAAAACTAGTATGATAGTATTATAATCTCATGTAAGCTACTATTTTCATCCTTTTACTA